GTTTGAGCGCGTCTACACCCAGGACGCCTGGCGCCAACACGACGACGCCGCCCACGCCGCCCGCGCCGCCCACGCGCCCCCGCCGCCGCCGCCGGCGCACGCCGCGGCCGCCGCGCGTGGGCAGCAGCAGCAGCAGCAGCAGCGCGGCGCGCACAGCGGCGGGGGGTCTGACCCTGAGGAGGCGGCTGACGTGTTGGTGGACGACAATCTGGGGTTCTCTAAGGACCGCACCATATCGCGGCTGACTGAGATGCAGAGCCTGGAGTACTTGGCGGCCCACGCGGCGCAGCACGAGCCGACGCTGCTGCTTGCGCTGCAGGAGGCGCTCGAGGGCAAGCGCGGCGCGGCCAAGGCGGCCGCGCCGGCGCCGGCGGCAGCAGCGGCCTCGGCGCTTTAGGGCCGCTGTTGCGTGCGTGGGTGGAGATTGGTGTCTTTTTTGTTCGGGTGGATTGTGGGGGCCGGGCGGCCGCTCGAGGCGGGCCGCCCCAGCGGCTTGCCGGGACGGCGTTTGGTGAGGCGCGGAGGTTATGATACGCAGTCCCTTTGTCCCCCAATGCATGGGGCCGGTATTGTCCCGTGCTGTCGGTTCCAACTTGGATTTGTGTCAGCAGAGCAGGAGTCTGCGCACGGCGTACCTCCACCACCAAACATCCAATTTTGAACAGGCCTGCACCGGACTTTTTGTGTCGTCCGCGTGCGCGACCGCCCTTGCGCGCCTGATCCTGTGCGGCCGCGTGTGCGATGGGCGCGGCAGCACGGTGGCGCCGTGCCATGGCTTTGGAGGCTTATGCCCCGCCCATCCTCCACAATCGTGCCAGGGTCATCGCATTGTTCCCCAGCGCCCCCCCCCCCCCCTTGGGGTGGCGACCTGAGTAATCGAGTCATGAGCTTTTGCACGACAATCAGGCTGCGGTGACGGGTAGCCTTTTGGCTGCACCCCAAGCTGGTCAGTGAGGGTGTAGGAAACCCACTCGTCTAGATCCACAAAGCATGTCTTGGCAGTATGCATGCGCTCAGATTGCCGCACCGGCGTCGCTGCAAAGGCTGGGTCGCTGAGGCGGCAGCTGCGTCGCCGACACCTGCCCTGTCGAGGTCACGCGTCGCGATACAAGTGCTAGGCTGTACGTCGAGGCGATGTGAAACTTGTCGCTGCCATCTTTCCACAGTGCTTCCTGACAGCCCCGCGGCGCTCAGATCTGCGATCGCATTGCAGCGACGTCCCAGGCAAACAGCGAGCTCGTCTCCTTTAACAACAGGTGCGTAGAAAGGCAACCAGTTCTTGCCTTGGTGCGGAAAACAGCGAGCGTGCACTGCATTCACGCGGCTCGCAGCGGCGTGCAGCGAAGCGCTTGCCCAGCACAGCGCGTGCACAACCCTGTGGGATGAGGATGGGCCACCAGCGGCATTTGATGCTGCAGCATGCGATGTGTAATTTGGGCCTCTGCGGTGCTGGCCCACCTCACAGCGGCACCACTGCTTGTTGGCCTGCTGCTGCAATGCACCGCACAGAGCGGCCAGCCTCGCGTCATGCCCGCTCTGTGGGCGCGCACAGCCCAAGACCACTCCCGATGCCCCGCGCTCCACCCCTGCTCGCAGCGCCTGGAAATTGCCCCTGAACCCGCCATAGACAGTGCTGCAGCGGGCCCGCAACGACTGCAGTCGACGCGTCTGGACAGCAGGCGCCCGGCGGCAAGCAGGCACCATCGCGCAGCCCTCGGCGCGGCGGCGGCCGGCCAATCGCAGCAGTAGTGAACAAGAAGTGAACAGCGGCCACCAGCTGGCTTGCGTGCAACATGGTGAACCAGGCGCTTTCTAAGCTGGCGGCGTGGGCTAATGATGAGGTGTCGGACCCTGGCAAAAGGGCGGCCAACATCAAGCTGCTGCGGGCATTTCTGGTGAGGGGTGGTTTGGAGGGGGGGGGGTGGCCAGGGGGTGCGAAGGTTGGTGGGTGAATTGGGTGTATGGGTGCGAGGGTGTGTGGGTGGGTGGGTTTTATGAGGGTATTGGGTGGGT